CTTATTTCATTGGTGTGGACCTATGAAAGTTGAATGTCAGAATTTGATGGCAAACATCGTTGTCTTTCTGACTCTAATGGGAATACTTCAGACGTTCTATCCTTAAGCATGAATTTGTTACAGTTTTATGCTAGACACTCTATATTCCTTTATTAAGTTAAGGAAGTTTCTTCTAATTCTAGTTTATTGAGAGTTTTTAACCATGAATGTCTCTTTAGTTAGTTTTAGCAAATGCCTGTTTGTCATTTCCTGAGTTGATAATGTGATTGTTTTCCCTTACAGCTAGTAAAGGTTATGACTTACAGTGAAAGCTTTTTGAACACTGAAGTGTTGCATTCCTGAGAGAAACCCTACTTTGCCATGATGTATTGTTCTTTTAATACAAAGTAGATTCTATTTGCTAATATTTGGTTTAAAATTATTGCATCTATGTTCATAAGTGACATTAGCTTTAAAGTGTTCATGTCTTTGATTTCTCTTGTGTGGTTTTGGCATCAGGAATCTTTTAGCTATAAAATGAGTTGGATTTTCCCCCCTTTTTTCTGGAAAAACAATATAGCATAAAGAACATTGCTCCGCAGCCAGATGTTTTGGTTGGAATCCTGGTTTTCCATTATCTTGACTTCTAACACTATAGGTTAGTTTTGCCTACTATTTTTTATTACAGTTTATTGGGATGACAGTGGTCAACAAAACTACATAGGCTTCAAGTGTACAATTGTATATAATACATTGCCTACTTTTGAACCATATGTACTTAGAGTCATACAATATGTACTCCTCTCTCTAGTTTCTTTCATTCAGTATTACATTTGTGAGATTCGTACATGAGGTAATAGTTTAGTAATTCTCATTGCTGTATACAGTCTATTGTATGAGTATACCACAGTTTATTCATTCTATTGCTGAGAGATAGTTCTAGTTTTTAAAATGCTCTTAAAATTGTACTGCTATGAATATTCTTGTTCTGAACATGTGTAGATTTGTTGGGTATTTATTTTTTTTCTAGAAACTTTTTTTAATTAACGTTAATTGGGGTGACAATTGTTAGTAAAGTTACATAGGTTTGAGGTGTACAATTCTGTAGTACATCATCTATATGATGAGGGTAAAAGGCGTCAAATACATGGTAATGGAAATAGAACTGACTCGGGATGGCAAACACACATTGTTGGGTATTTCTGTTGGGTACATACCTAGGAGTGGAATACGTATGTATATATGTATGTATATCATCAGCTTTAGTAGATAATGCCAGTAATTTTCCAAAGTGTCTGTACTGATTTTCACTCATAAAAGCAATATTGGAGAGTTGGCAACAAAAGCAAAAATAGACGAATGAACTACATTAAACTTAAAAAAAAACAAAGAAACGAAAACTTTTGTGCATCAAAGGACACAATTGAGTGAAAAGGCCTCCTACAGAATGGGGGAAATTTTTGCAAATTATGTATCTTATAAGGGGTTGGTATTCAGAATATATAGAGAATTCCTACAATTCAACAACAACAAAACAACCCAATTTAAAAGTGGGCAAATGATTTCAAGTGTACATTTCTTCAAAGAAGATATACAAGTGATCAACACACATAGGAGAAGATGCTCACTATCACTAATCATTAGAGAAATGCAAATCAAAACAATGAGCTACGTCACACTCATTAAGATGGCTATCCAAAACATGGAAAAAAACAAGTGTTTGGTGAGAATGTGAAAAAGTTGGGAACCCTTGTACTCTGTTGGTGGGAATGTAAAATGGTGCAGCATCTATGGAAAACAATATGGGGATTCCTTAAAAAAATTAAAACTAAAATTACCATATGATCCAGCAACCCCTGGTGGGTATATATCCAACAGAATTGAAAGCAGGATCTCAAAGATATTTGCACAGTTATGTTCATTACAGCATTATTCATAATAATGTTATTTTGAAAGGCATTTTTAAAAAACTTCCATTTATAAATGCTCACTGTTAGAATATAAAAACAGAACTGATATTTTCTGTGTTAATCTTGTATTCTGTGACCTTGCTAAGCTCATAGACAATAGTGTTGTTTGCAAATAGAAACACCAAAGCATGTACAAGATTTGTATGCCAAATAACGCAAAATGAATCCTAGAGAATATTCCACATGCATTTTAGAAGAAGAATGTAAATTTACTGTTGTTGGGTGGAATATTCTGTATATACCTGTTGGGTCTAATTAATCTAGAGTGTTGTTCAGGTCCTCTATTTCTTTATTTACCTTCTGCCTGGTTTGATCAATTTTTGAAAGTGGGATATTAACATCACCTACTACTATTGTGTTGCTGTTAACTTGTCGCTTCAGTTCTGTCTGTTTGCTTCATATATTTGGGAGCTCTGATGTTTGGTGTGTAAATTTTTAGAATTACTTTAACTTCTTGGTTAAGTGACCCTTTCATCCTTATCTACTGTTCTTCTTTGACCTTGTAGCAGTTCAGTTTTTGACATAGAGTCTATTTTGTCTGCTGTAAGTATAGTCCTGCTCTCTTTCGGTTATTATTTGCACAGAATATCTTTTTCCATATTTTTACTTTCAGCCTAAGTGTGACCTTACATCTAAAGTGAGTTTCTTATAGAGAGCATTTAATTGGGTCCTGTTTTTTAAATCCATTTCAGCCCATGTACATCTTGTCTTTAATCTGTATTTTTTGTTTATCTGTTTTCTTGTTGATATGGTAGGTGTAATGGTCTTTGGTGACCTTCTACATCATAACTGGTAGCAGAATTATCAGCTCACATTAATCCAATTAGGAATTGAGATGATACAAAGTTGGGCCTCCAGTCCCTGTAAGGGCTGGTCTGTTTTTACTCCTAGTATGTGTACTGTTGAGGTCCCAACCCAAAGCCTAGAAACAATTTACCAGGGCCTCTCCCCGCCTTGACAGGCCCTGAACCCCAATTTTGTCACCCAAGACACATAAGCCATTTTGGAAATTCTCTTCAGCTCCCCAGCCAATAAGCTTCCTCCTCTGGAATTAGCAGATGCCTTTCCAGGAAGATTGTCTTTGAATGCCAGGCTCATCTCTCTGAATTTTCCTCCTTTTCCAGACCTTGACCCCACAATGATTTACTGCTTCGGTAACTATCCAGTAACTTCCAACAGATGCCATTTTATTTGGCCCAGCTAGTCTACAATACTTGCTCTCTACAAGATGATTGGTCTTAACCATCTAGTTCATTAGCAGAAGCAAAATCCCTGCTAAGCTTTGGATCTCTACCTTTCCTAGCTCCTGGGATTGTAGTTTTGAGTAAACTCGCACAAGCTCTAGCTATTCCCACTAAGAATTTATAAAGATGTGTATCCAGTTTCGGGGGACCACTGGAACCATTTGTGCTCATGGACCTGACAAACTCAGTGGGAAACCCTGCTAAGCACACTAATAGCAGCAGCATATTGACTTCAGGGTTTCTGGAAATGTCAGTAATAACAGTCGCTGTGTATTACTTCCGAGGACCTTATGCAAACCACAGGCAGCTACTACGTACTCTTACATGACTTTCTCCCTGGCGACTTGGATGTTGGGAAGGGAGGGTTGCTTGTAATGCTTCATCATTTGTGTTCTCTCAATGCGTACACTGTGGTCTGGGGCCCAGGAACGTTCTGCTGGGTAGGAAAGAGAGAGGGAGCTAGATCTTAATGCTGCTGTACCGCTGTGTGCTAATGTGGTCTCACAAGGCCGGGGGCCCTCAGCCTGGTGGCTCTGCTGAACCCTCTGGTAGGTGGAGTTTAGCTGTATTTGGGGTGAGAAGTAGGTTGGCCTTGGTAGCCAGAATATCAATTTCTCCCACACTAGCATGAAAATGCAAGTATTTGTGAATGTCTTACCTATCCCCCGCTCCCCCAGGGCAGAGAATGAGAAGTGAGGGCCACCGGTGAATGCTGAGTTAGAACTAGCGACCATTTAGATGAGTAATCTCATCCACATAATGAATCTAATGGAGTCATTGAAGAGTCTGCCAGTCCTCTTCTCCAGGCTTTGTGGTCAATGTGTTCAACCTCATGGCAACTTCCTGACTGAAAACAGTGTGAATTAGCCTTGTCTGTGGAGCAAGCACAAGGGCCTCGGGCTCCCAAGGCTTCTGTTAAGTTTACACAATTGGACTCAGACTTTCTATGATACTAGAAAATACTGACCCTGCAAATATGCTTCTAATTAGCTCTCCACGTGAACTCAGTTTGAACTCTATCCACTTTGAAGTTGAGCTGCTAAATGAATTACAGAAATGTTTAACCTTTGAAGCATGCCGTATCCCCAAATTTCTATTGAAACTATAAAAAACTTCTCATTATGACAACTCAGCATGAAAAACTGAGCCACTTCTTGGCATATATCCAAAGGAAGTGAAATCTGGGTCTCAGAGTGATCTCTGCACCTCCATGTTCATTGCAGCATTATTCCCAATAGCTAAGATACTAAAACAACCTAAATGTCTGTCAGTGGGCAAGAGGATAAATAAAATGTGGTGTGTGTATATATATACATACAATTTGCAACATTATGGATGAACCTGGAGGACATTATGCTAAGTGAAATAAGCCAGACACAGAAAAATACTGCATGTCTCACTTATATGTGGAATCCAAACTAATCAAACTCATAGAAAGCAGAGAGTAGAATCATGGTTGCCAGGGTTGGGGAGGTGGAAGAGAAAAGGAGGCAGTGGTAGCCAAAGGGTACAGTTTCAGGATGAATGAGTTTTGGAGATCTAACGTTCAACATGGTGGCTGCAGTTAACAATACTGCATTATAGACTTAAAATTTGCTAAGAAAGTATGTTAAGTGTTCTCATCACAAAAAGGAACTGTGTGAGGTGAGGGATATGTTAATTAGCTTGAGTGCGGCGATCATTTCACAATGTGTGTATATCAAAGCATCAATTTGTAAACCATATATGAGATCATTCCTCCTTGTCAATTATACCTGAAGAAAGCTGGAAACAAACAAAAAAGTGACCTGAAGCGGTTGTCTTGCAGGTACGAGAGAATCGAAATCCCCATCCACATCGTCCCTCATGTAACCATCGGGAAAGTGTGCCTTGAATCAGCAGTCGAGCTTCCCAAGATCCTGTGCCAAGAGGAGCAGGACGCATATCGGAGGATCCACAGGTAGAGGCCTTCCGCACTCCCGGGCTCCGCTTCTCAGGCCCGGGCCCTGTTCTCTTCTGTCCTTCCATCTTCAGCAGCTCACCTCTGGAGCCCCTTTCCTTCCCCTTGTCTGTGCCAATGCTTTACAGTGGTCTCCTCCAACCATGGTGGTTCGCACACTGTGTGGTAACAGGCTCTTCACGGGTGTTTATCACTTTGGAACCTTCAAGGGCAAAGGCACTTTTTTGGTTGTAAAAAAAATAAATAAACTACAATATCTTAGTAGCCCTGTTGCCAAGCCCTGGGTCTTGCCCAGTAAATGTGTACTAGGTGAAGGCTTCAATGAAAGACAGTAACTTCAAAATTATCTCTGGCTTATCTCGAAGTTCTGCCTGAAGTCACATCTTAAAAACCATGAAAAGTGTAACAATAATAGAAATTTAAACTATACATGTTCATCTACTACAGGTGACAGTTGATCATTTTGTTATATAGTCTGGGACCGTTTTGTTTTCCCTTCACTGCTGCTTTGGTACTCACCTAAGCTCTTTTATTCCTTTAGCCTTACACATCTGGACTCAGTAACCAAGATCCATAATGGCTCAGGTAAGATTGTGTTTCCTGCGGATAGGCGGTGATCTCTGAAATACGTAGCTGACAGAAGCTCGTGTAGTTTAAATGATCGAAGTGATGGGTACAAGCGATGCTCAAGTTTCCTTTCGCAAGAGCTTTGCCAGTCATTTTTCTTGCTCCCCACTTTTCTGCTCGATGCCGTGGACCCTTGAATAAGCTAACTGCTACCTAGAGTGAGACTGGAGGAAGGACGGGAGCAAGCTTTACGGCAGGCCTCCTCAGTGCTGCGCTGGCGCACTTCTGCCGACCAGTTCTCAGGGAGGAGGGAGGACCCTGACGTGGTGTATTTGCCGGTGGCCATGGTATAATACCCCTACCATGGCAGATTTTCAACAACTGACATGGCCTCAGTCAGATTGCGTGCTTCCTGAAATTTCAACAGTTGGCTCTTATGAGCTGGTCTAACCTGCTTCTAGTGTACCATTAGCAGCCTATGGTGGTGCGAGTTGAAGGAGATGAAGAGACAGAAGGATCAAAGGAGGGCATAAGGGAGGAAATTATTTCATGTCAATAAAATGGAAGGACTTCCTATACAAGGCCAAGGGACAACAAGCGCAAATACGATTTACAGAATTACTTTTATGCAATATATCCACCTACCCACTCATGTTTCCTGTGTAACTTTGACCCCTAGGCCATTCTGTGCAATCTTCCCCAGTGGCTGGCAAAGTCACCAGTGAGGGAAAAGGGGAGGCCTTCAAGTGTTACACGCAAATACTCAGAGGAAAAGAAGAGAGAGATGACTTAGTGTATCTGTGTCATCATTTCTATCTGAAAGTAAAACATGGCAAAGAGGTCAAAGTTGGTCATATGTAAGATGTAGCGGTACTCTGAAGGTACAGTGATTTAATCAGAAGTGGACAAAAAAATCAGTAGAACTGAATAGAGCCCCCAAAACAGGCCCATGTAGATATAATAATTTATATTTATGGAAGGTGTTGCTTCAAATAAAAAAAAAGGTTGAATTATTCACTAAACAGCATTGGGACAGTTCATTCGTTAGTTTATTCATTGAAGAAACATTTGAGTGCTTATTCTCAGCTCGGCACTAGTCTAGGCACTGGGGTTCAGTGCTGAACAAAAGAGACAGTGTTAATCTGCCTGGACTCATATTCGTTTATTTCCATTTGGAGGAAAGTTTGATTCCTACCTAATATCCTACACAAAAATAAATTGCAGGTAGATTTAAACTTTTAGTATTAAATATGGTGCAAGCACTTTGGGAAAGAGGTCAGCAATTACAGTGACCAAATGACCCAGCAGTTCCTCTCCTAGGCATATGCACCGAAGAGTTGAAAACACGTGTTCAAACAAAACTGTGCATGGGAATGTTCCTAGCAGCATGCTTTGCAATAGCCAAAGAGTGGAAACACCCGAGTGTCTGTCCGTGGGTGAGTGGACAAAGCGTGAGCCATCCACACAACGGACGTCTGCTCAGCAACAAAAAGAACAGCTGCTGATACATGAACAACCTGGACGCATCTCCAGAGCAGTCTGCCAAGTGGAAGAAGCATTGCACAACCTGCTGCATACTCTACCGTTCCACTTACATGACATTCAAGACTAGGCAAAACTAACCTTTGGTGACAGCAAGCTCATTAGTAGCTGCTGCAGCCAGAGGTAAAGGGGCATTGACTGCAAAGGGAGCTGCAGAGGGGCCTGTGGGCTGACTGAAATGGTCTGTAGCTTGACCAGGAGTGGTCACAAGCGGCATGCATTTGTCAAAACTCATTGAACTGAACACTTAAAATGGGGTCATATTATTCTCTGTAAATTATACCCCGGTGAAGCTCTTTCTTAAAAGGAAAAAAAATACAGGAATCAAATATAAGAGGGTAGTTCTCAAACTCTGGGGAGGTAATGGCCTAAGTATAATCTGAAACCCTGAACTCAAAGGAAAAGACTAGGGCCGGCCGAGTGGCGCGATGGTTAAGAACTCGCTTGGGATGCCAGAGGGCCCCGGTTCGGATCCCACATATGAGGGCCAGTGACACTGCCCTCCACAGCTAAGATGCTGAACAACAGCTCAACCTGGAGCTGGGCTACCATGAGTCGCCGGCGACGGCGTGGGCTGCAGTCCCTGTGGCAGTGCATTGCCATGGGCTACCGTGTGTGGCCAGCAGCCAGCGTGAGCGGCCAGCAGCCGCAGTGAGCGGCCGTCCAGAAGCCGGCGACTGATCTGCCTCGCCAGAGAAGAGCGCAATGATGGTGCCAACTTGGGCCAGAGAAGCAACGTCCTCCACAACTAGATTGAAGAACAAAACGACAGCAACTTGTCTGTTCCCCTTTCCCCAATTCCCCAGTACTGTTCCCATCCCCCCAATTCCCCAATAAAAATCTTTTAAAAAAAAAGACTAAATAAGAATTAAAGACTTGAATAGACCCCCTACCAAAAAATCAAATTGTTCGCAGTAATCTTTAAAAGAAGTGTGGATTAAAATAAAATAATCAATTTTTCACACTCTCTTTTGGCGAAGATGAAATTGAGAGAGAAATACGTGAGGATGGGGGAATAGTAAACACTCCACATACTGTTCCTGGAGATATCATTTGGCACAATCTGGAAACTACCAGATAATCAGTTTTAACATATACATGGAGTTGGATATAGCAATTCCACTTCTACAAATGTATCCATGAAAAATGTGTAGCACAAGTGTGCAAAAATAAATTTAAATGGGTATTAATTGCAGTCTTTGTAATAGCAAAAAATTGGATGCTGCTGAAAGGTGTGCATCAATAGAGGACTTATTAAATTGGCGCATCCATTCTGATGAATACTGGTTAGCCCTTAAGAAGGAAAGCTAGATCTTTACTGACACAGAAAGATGACTGTGGCATATCATTATGTGGGGGAAAAGTAACATCCACAGCCATACAGTTTTTATTGCAAAGTATGCAACCACACACGTGTATACACATATATGTATATATACCTATATCTTGGAAGGTATACCCCACAGTATTACAGTGGTCATTTTCAGCAAGTCATGTAGTATGAGAGAGAAAAATATATTTCCATTAGGTGGAATTTGTTTTTAAAAGAGTGCCATCAAATCCTGGTCTCACCGTGAGTGGAACATTCATAGTAAAAGGCATGAAAGAGGATACGTCCCTTACACTTCATCTCTGGTTTTTCCTCATTTGAAAAGAGTGAGTTGAATCAACATACTGATTTTTTCAAGGTACATAACATTTCTTAGGCAGCTTTTCTCCTGGACTTGCGGAAAACTCAGTTGCAGAAGGCAGAGTTCTAGCTAGCTCTCTAGGAAGTTATGGTCATTTACACGGGGCTGGGGAAAGAACCCTTCTGGAGCTCTCAGCGCTTTTGCCTAAGGGAGTAAAGAGCTAGTCTTCTGCTCTCTGATTAGCCAGGCTTCCCTCTGGCTGATGAATCCAGGGATGTTCACGATGGCCTCAGAATAGGTGTCTTTGCCTAGCTGTTCTGTCTTTGCTTTGGCTGGCCTGTCAGTACTACTTACCGCACTTTTTCTGCTTCCGCTTCCAACCCCTTCTTTCTGTGCTCACAGCTGGGGGGCTTTTGGTGGTGGAGTGTTGTCTCATCTGTGTTTTTCCTGTTGAAGTGTTTACCAAGAATCTGTGCAGTCAGATGTCAGCAGTCAGCGGGCCTCTCCTACAGTGGTTGGAGGACAGACTGGAGCAAAACCAGCAGCATTTGCAGGAGTTGCAACAAGAAAAGGAAGAGCTTATGCAAGAACTCTCTTCTCTAGAATAAAGTGGGAGACAAAATGGGGTAAAAAAACCTTTTTTTTCAATGGTCTGAAAATTCACACACCTCGTGTGTAGGCAGACAATGGAGCAGCTCTTTTCATATCCCAAGGAATGAGTTTTATGCATGAACTAAACACAAGATGTCTTCCTGAAAGCTTAATTGGGGCTCACTGAACACTCCTACCTGTAACAGGCCTACAAAGGGCATATGCAAGATGATTTAAGTAGAATATGAAAAGCTTTTTTTTTTAAAGGCTACGGAAGGTGCCCTGGCAAGGACGACCTGTAATAAGATGTCTAGGGAGTGTATTTATTTTAAATGTTTATTTCCCCCTTGTTTAACTTGAAAATCTTTATTTCCATTTCCAGATACACTCACTCCCTAGAATAAGCTAAAGGAAGGGGAGTATTTAATATTTCCATTTTGTAGTTATGATGTTTATGTTGGACAAGAAAATAAGTACACAGAGTTAGTTATGTCTTCCTTCTTGATCCCTGAACTATGTATTCTGAGATACCTCTCAGAGTTGAATCTATGTTGGGTGCCCTTCTAACCAAATAGATGAGTTCTATCATATTTGACTGCCAAGCACATTTGTATCGAGCAGATCCTGTTTATCTAGGAACTTCAATTATAGCATAAATGTGTTTTTCCAGAAGTGTTTCGGATTTAGGATGTAACAAAAATCATACTTCAAAAAGTTGTGTTGCATTATTCTTACTGTGTATAACCACAAATGGTAAGTATGTCTTCAGAAGAGTCAAGCCTATTGCATACTAGAAATTAAAGTGGGAATTGGAGGAGGTGGAAAGAAAGAAAACAGAGCTTCAATCCCAACAACAGTGACAAATGTTTTATTTTTTGTCTTTTTCTTATTTCTCCTTAGATTATTGTTTTTCATATTTCAAAGTGTGGTCCACAACCACCTGCACCAGAATCACTTGGAAGTCAAAATTCATCTCTGGGGGTGGAACCCAGACATTTTCATGAACTTCCCAGCTGATCCTAAGGCATACTAAAGTCTGAAAACCACCACCCTAGGGCATATGCAGTGAAATGCTGTATTTTCCCTAATTTCTCATGGCCACAGTTCTTCTCTATTCTTTTCTTTCCCTATAGGAAGGATGAAAATACCCAGGTGCAAAATTAATCAAGCTAAATCAATTTTGAAGAAAAAGTTGGAGGACTCACATTACCTGACTTCAAGATTTACTGTAAAGCTAGAGTAATCAAGACGGTGTGGTATATACCCAACTGATTTTGATGAAGGTACAGAAACAGTTCAATGGAGGAAGGATAGTGTTTTCAACACATGACGCTGGACTAACTGGACACCCATAGGCAAAAAAAAAAATGAACATTGATCGAAACTGCACACCTTATACAAAAATGAATAAAAAATGTATCATGGACTTAGATGTAACATATAAAACTATGAAATTTTAGAAATAAAATCATGGAAAAATCTTCAGGACCTTGGGCTAGGCAACAAGTTCTCGGCCTTCACCCCAAAAGCACAATCCTAAAAGGGAAAAAGTTGATATATTGAACTCGATCAAAATGAATAACTTTTGCTCTACAAAAAAATTAACAGGAGGAATTTGTTGAGAGAATTCTATTCAAACCATATATCTGATCAATCTAGAATATATAACAGTAAAAAACAAACAATTTAATTAGAAAATGAGCAAAAGACATATACACATTTCACTAAAGGATATATGGATGACAAATAAGCACAGGAAAAGATGTTGAACTTCAGTAGTCATCAGGGAATGGAAATTAAAACCACAATGATTTATGTCTACTTATCAGAGTGGCTAAAACAAAAATATTGAAAATACCAGATGCTGTTGAACATACTGGATCTCATGCATGGCTGATAGGAATGTAAAATGATACAGCCACTCAGGAAAATAGTTCGGAAATTTTAATAAACATACACATACCATATGACCCAGCAGTTGAACTCCTGGACATTTATCACAGAGAAATGAAAACCTATGTGGCATGGAAACTTACACACAGATATTTTTAGCAGTTTTATTTGTAATAGCCTCAAGCTGGAAGCACCCTGATATCCTGCAATTGAGTGAGTGGCTAAACCACCCATCCACACCATGGAATACTACTCTTCAATGAAAAGGAACAGACTATTGATACAACTTGGATGGACCTCAAGGGTATTATGATGAATGAAAAAAGCCAGTCTCAAAAGGTCACATACTATATGATTGAATTTATATGACATTCTTGAAATGACAAAATTATAAAAATGAAGAACAGATTAATGGTTGCCAGGGTTAGGGGCGGGAGGGGGAATGGGATATGTGTGACTATAAAGGGATAACACAATGAATTCCTTTGTGCTGATGGAACAGTTCTGTATCTTGATTATGGTATTAATTAAATGATTTTATATCTGCTAAAGCTACTTAGACTTACCCCCCCACACACACACACACAAATGAATGCATGTAAAACCTGCTGAATCTGAATAAGGTCTGCAGTCTAGTAAGGAGTATTGTACCATTTTCAGTGTCTTGGTTTTGAAGTCAAACTATACTTATGTAAGCGCTTATTACTGGGGGAAATGGAGAGAAGGGTACATGGGACTCACTGTACTATTTTTGCAACTTCCTGTAAGTCTATAATTATTGCAAAATAAAAAATTGTAAGCACTAAATAAAGTACTAGGAGTTATGGTACTTATTTTATGAAATAAGAAAAGAGTGATAAAGAGAAAATCTGAGGGGAATAAAATGATTTGGATATTTTTACAGGTCAACCTTGAGCACACACCCCTTTCCCTTTCTGGGCTCATTTTCTTGGTTTATAAGGTTAGAGTAGATGACCAACAAGGTTCCTTTTAGCTCAGTGTTCAGTCTTTAAAAGTGTTAAGCATCCCAAGGAACAGTGATGTCAACAAGACGTGTCCCACCTGCACCTATCCAGCTTATCTTTACACAATCTCTTGTATTCTGCACACGGCCCTGTCTCCCCTTCTGGTCAGCAGATTCTCTGTTTACAATCACAACCCACAGATTCTCTGATGGGAACAGTTTACACTTGCTTTCTGTTTTCTCATCTCCTATTCATTCAACTCCTTGCATTCTGACCCCCGCCCACATCACTCATTTGAAACCACTCCTGCCACATAGTGAAAGCCAATAGATGCTTTTCCTGTTCTTAACGAATCTCTCAGTCTTGACACAATTGGCCACTGTTGCTTGAAATCGATCTCTCTTGGCTTCTGCTATTCTGTTCTTTTCTGTTTTCTCCCTTTGGCTGTTTCTTCTCAAATTCCTTCATAGGCTTCTCTACCTTTGCTTGCCTATAAGCAGCTGACAGGTGAATCTGTGTCTCCCTCCAGACCTTTATCTTAACTCTAGATCTGCATTCCTACCTGTCAACTACATAGTTCCACTTGGCTGTCTTAATGGCACATCAGCCAGCAATCGGTTACATTAAACACATAAGTAAACTGATTGAGCAAATAAGTAAATATATTGAAGAAAGGGGGAGCTAGGTTTCTCAGCGTCAGACAAATGAGGTGCAAACATGAAAAGGAGGAAGGGTAAAATGAAGTTCATGGTGTTGACTGAAATTGGAAGTATTAATATGAACTTTTTCAAAGGAAAAAAACAATTATATATGCACAGATAGAGATGTGTACATACATACATACATACCTTTCCTTGCTCTGTCCACTAAAAGAGATACCTCGGTAGCCATGAGCACATGTGACACCCAAATATTGGTTCTCAAATACTGTTCTTCACTAAAGGTAACTAGCCGCACCGCCCCCCCCCACCCCCATGTGAGAAATGGCTGGTTCCAGTGCTGGGGCTGAAAGTATGAGGTAAGCTCAGCCCATCTTCTTGAGACATAAAGTAAGGAAATGGGTCCAGCCCGAAAAGGGTTCCCAGTGGCCAAATCTGGGACAATTTGTGTATCAAAATAATGAGTGTAAAGGATTATCACCCTTAGAATAATATAAGAATCTGAATCTGCACTAATAAAAAAAGAAATATGTAGATGGGGAGGAAAGAAAGTTCTTTATAGTACAAACCAAGTAATAAACATAGAAGAAATGATGCAATTAGGAAGCCGCCTTTGGGTGACCATCATTGTAGTTGCTGATTCAGGTGGGTGTTATCAATGGACACTAAGGCAGATGGATGGGTGTCACTGTGCTGAAGGTCTGGCTGCTCACAGGTTGGTGGCGGGGGAAAGCAGGTTTATTCAAAATGCCAGCACTCTGGGAGGAGGGCGACTCCTGTCCAAGGGCCATCCCCTTCTTGCCAGAATGGCCAAAGGGTTTCATAGGCAGGTAAGGAGAAGCAGAAGAAAGGAAAGGGGCAGTTGGTCAGGCAATTCCTGGAGAAAGGTGCTTCCAAGAGGCTGGTTTGTTTCAGGAATAGGAGTGGATCTTAGGCAGATGGAAAAACTTCTTTCAAGTCAGTGTCCTGGAGGTTTCCTTGAGGAAGCAGGGCCATTGAGCCTGGTATGCATGAGGTCTGGAGTAAACAGAACCATTGAAAGTGGTATGCAGAGTAAACAATCATTAAGGTTTGGCCAGAGGGAAGGGAAGCAAAGAAAAATTTTCAAAAATTACCTGTGCTAAGCTACACTGTTTAATTACACTAGAGCTGCGGTTCTCAACCTGTGGGTCGTGACTCCTTTGGGGGTCGAATGACCCTTTCACAGGGGTCACCTAGGACCATCGGAAAACAGAAACATATTTACATTACAATTCATCACAGTAGCAAAATGACAGTTATAGAGTAGCAACAAAAATAATTTTATGGTTGGGGATCACCACAACATGGAACTGTATTAAGGGGTCGTGGCATTAGGAATGTTGAGAACCGCTGCACTAGAGGCTTAAATCTCAAAATAGAAGATACGGTGTCACCCTTAGTTGGAGGTTTAGCTATCAAGGACATGAAAAATAAGAAAAGGCCAAGGATTTTCCCCAGATTGAGAGATTTAAGACATGAAAACTAAGTGTACATTTGTGTTCCTGTATTGGATTTTGGACCAGAAAGGAAAAAAAGAAATCGTTAGGATAGTGCAGTATTTGAATGGGGCCTCTGGATTGGATTGTAGTGTTGTATTCCCTAATTTGGAGGGATATGTGTGTAGGGTAACAGCTCTGCCATGGTGCCCTGGTGCCCATATGACATCCACATATGCCACACAGTCGAGGCTTGAACCACAGCTGATCTGAGTGTTGGCAGAAGAGCCTGAGATCCTCCTGTTAAACAGAATGGAGACCTAGAAAGAAATGCTCGGAGGCCATCTGCCACCCACGTCCCTACCTCCCCGGGGAGGCAGTCATGAGCCAATTTCTCATTGCCTCCTGGGTTCCAATGAGGTAAAAGGGTCACTCACTGCCTCATCCATGTCAGGGGACAAATGTAGACGATTAAACTGCTTAGTTGTAGTCTAGCAGAGGCTCATCAACAATGGAGTGTCTCACAATTCACAGTGCACTCATCCAGCCCCTTTCATTTAATTTTTGTCCGTTTTGGTGTGTGGCACAAAGACCACAGGGAGCTGGTACCTTTGGTTTCTCTCCCATTTGCTGACTATGTAAGTGATAAAGTGAATCTTACAAGGGTTTGTGTGGCTTAACCAGCCAAATCTGTCAGCCTTGTGCTTGTGCTTGACAAAGCTGCTACAGTTAAAATGCCCTTTTAAAAGATAAACAGGGCCAGGTTAGGGGATAAGATAGACTCCCCAGGATCTGGTAGCACCTACGTGTTGGGTGAGAGCAGGGAGAATTAGGTTCCCCCCACATGCTCAGAGGCTGCGTGGTCTGGGTTAAAGGATATAAAAGGACTGCCCAGGATCCAACAGCATATGCTACCTGTTGATATACATTTGATAGTTAAGCAGCAGGAAGTAGGACTGAAACAAGCCACCTCATTGGTGCCTTAGCTGCCATTAAAAGTTCATTTGTGGCAAATGGCCACTTAAACCCAAAAGTCAAGTCACAGCAGTGCTTGCTGGTATGAGCAGCTTTGCGGCCTCCCCTAATTCTCTCCCTCCTTAACTTCAGCAACTTTAAGAGAAGAAACTTCCATTAACTTCCAGTATGACAGTATAAGGAGACCGGCAGACCCACTCCCCAGTGAAACCGGTGAAAATTATTTTTCAGAAGAAATTAAAGTCTCTGGAAGTATTCCTAAGGGCAAACAGCAAGCCAAAAGTATTCAAGAAAATCTAAAAACTGGGTAAGAATCTCTAGTGTTCGAACTGAGAACAGCTCCCTTATTCCCTTCACCCAATTTAGAAAGGAGACTCCACTGCAGACTGGGATAGCCAGTTCCCTCCTCCCAGCTCCCAGTTGCAGGGCTTTCTTCCCAGAAGGAGCAGGACTTCAGCATTTCTCATCCTGCCCCCGGCTACCTGTTGCTGAGGCTAACTAAGTCCCAGGCAAACGCAGTTGCCAGGCAGGGGTTCCCATCTCCCATCCAGCTTTCACTCATAGGATGGAGGCTCTAAATTTGGCATGGTGCCCTGAGAATACTGGGTCCCTGATAACCCTTGCCCCAGTTCATGAGGTGGAGGTTCCACACCAGGAAAGGCAAGCTGAAAGGCCCTTAAGCGACTGCCCCCTCCTCCACTGACTGTTGGACTCCTGGGAGTGTCTCTCAGAGAGAAGCTTGTCATTGTCCCTATCCTCCGTCCAAAGGCCTGGCTCAGAGATTTTGCCTAGGGGGAGAAACAAACTAGGAAACAGTTAGCTCCTAACCTCTCCCCAGAAGAACTGACTTCATTTGCAACAGAACGTGAAGTTCAAGCCTAAGGGCACTTGTAAAAATGATAGTGATTGTGGCGAAAGCCAATTTGTTGACTGAGTGAATAGCCAGAACAATCTTGAAAAAGAGCAAAGGAGGAGGAACACAATTCAAGATTTCAAAATTATACAAAACAATGATAATCAGGACAATTTGCTACTGTCCCAAGGATAGACATATAGATCATTGGAATAAATTGGGAGTCCAGAAATAAGCACACACATCTGTGGTCAACTTATTATCAATAAAGTCGTCAAGACTATTGAATAGGGAAAGAATAGTATTTTCAACAACTGGTGTTTGGACAATTGGATATCCACATGCAATAGAATAAAGTTGGACCTCTATGCCACACCATATTCAAATATGAACTCAAAATGTTTCAAAGACCTAAATGTAAGAACTAAAATGATAAAAAAAAAACTCAGAAGAAAACAGCAGTAAATCTTCATGACCTTGGTTTTGGCAATAAATTTTTTGCTGTGACACCAAAAGCACAAGCAACAAAACAAAAAGATAAATTGGATTTCATGAAAAT